CCCCCCCCCCCCCCAAGAAATGTTTGCTCTTGAATTTTTTTTCATCTCCATCATAACTCGCAACAGAGAGGCTCTTCTAAGAAAGAAGAAACGAGAAGAGAATGTCGACAAAAACCATGATGCTATGCACCTTGTAAATATATATAAATATATATATACCATATACCATACACTCCTCCCCCCGAGAAAAAAAAAAGAAAAAAAAAAGAAGTCAACTTGCCTCTTACGCTACTGCTAGTGGAGAATGAGAGAACGTGGGCGCTTAAAACCACCCGTGCCCCTTTCCACACCCAATCATGAATCGTTCCACGACGGGACCGACCCTCTTCCCCCCTCCCCCATGAACCAATTATGACCCACCCTTCGATCGTCCCCGGCGCTTAGATCCTTGCTCTCTCTTTTTCCATCTTTCTTTTTTTTTTTTTTTTCCCCGTCATTTTTCATGTCTCTTCTCTACTCCGTACTCAGATAATTCTTTCCTCTTACCAGTCCAGCGCACGAATGATAGGTCTAGGTCACTCATCTCTCCCTCTTCTGCACTCCGTACTGTCATGCATCTCTTTCTTTCTATCCTTCCTTCTTCTTCTTCCCTTCTGAACCCTCCTCTTCATCTTTACTACCACCACACCCTTTCTCCCCTAGGCAGTGAGCAGCGAGCATCGGCAGTACCAGTGTATACTTACTCACATCCTCCTACCTTGACCCTCTCCATCCACCCCTAACAAGGCCGCCTTGAATCAGCCCAGGAAAGAAGACGATGGCTTCTTTTCTTCTTCCTCTTCGTTTCTTCTGGTCTTGCCTACTAAACCCTTCACGGATATCAAATGCTCCGTCGGCCCTTCGCAATCTCTTCTCCGATCGCTACCTTAGACACATTCACAATGCATCCTTACCTCGTCTTCACTTGGGTCTGGTAACATGCGTTCTTCGCTCCAACCTAGAAAACGCTCGGACCAGGATATAGAGATGGCGAAATTACCTCCAAGAAGGAGAAGGGAAAAAAAAGAAGAAGAGTGTGATTTTCCTCTCACGCATTTATTACATGTACATGGCGTGCCATCCTGCTGCACCTCGCGCACTCTGCAGCCTGCAGTCTACAGCAGAAACGCACTGCATCGCGCACCCAGCGGTGGAGTCGACAGCACCCTCACCCTTGGCCATACCCTCCCCTCCCCTCTACTCCGTACTCCATGCTGGCAGAGGTAGTCGTAGTATCTAGTACTGTACTCGCGGTCTTCCCGTCTCCCGTTCTCCGGACTACACCCTCACTATGACTGACATTGTTTCAGGCATGTGTGGCAATCAAGACGTCTCCGTCATCTTCTTTGATATATATATATATATATATGGATATATATAATCATCAAGTAAAAAAATAAGATCAAAAATACCTCCCGTGCTACCCTGCCAAGGTACCGCCGGTGCTTTCCCATCATTCACCGCCGCTTCACTTCCTGCTGCATCCGCTTCCATGCAGGCCTCATACCAGTAAAGCCCACCTCTGCTCACCAACGCCGTGTCATAGACTACAGATGCTCAAGCAATATTGGCCGCCCAAATAAATAACATGTCCGTCCTTTGTAACCAAAAAGGGGAGGGTGAAAGAAAATAGATAGTCCAGCTGAGAATCAGACGTGCGTGTGCGTGTGTGTGTGTAAATCATGTTGGCCACCTTTGAAATACTCCAGTTCTCCAAATCCGGCCATGAATTCTTCCGTTGAATGAAAAACAAAGAAAAAGATATGTCCATAATGTCGTAGAGTCTCGGACTCTAGGTCTCGAGACGGGATAAAGATCCAAGTCTTGATAGTGGCGTAGTATTTAAACAGGAAAAAAAAATAGAAGAAGAAAAAAAAAAGGCAGGGTGGAAAGAGAATCAAATCGAGTGGTGTGTTTGAGTGTGTCGTCGATGTGTGTAGTAGTAGTGGCCAAATCATCGTCGCACATGTGACGACAATGTTTGTCCGTAGATTAACATCAGATATCAGAGTCAACCTTACGTCTCTTTCCCTTGGGTGCCGGGTCCATGCGTGGGGTGTAGGTGACAGTCCTGGTCACCACTTCCCGGATGTGACGTGTGCTGGTCCTCGGCGGCTTCTTCTTGAGGGACTGGGTCCGGGCCTTGAGAGCGGCATCCCAGTCAAAGGCGGAGCGAGGCTGGATTGACCGGCCACCGGCGCTGAATGGCGAGCGCACGGGCGAGTCCAGGTTGGAGATTGACGGGCTCGGGGGCACCTTGAGGCTGGGGAACGAGGCCGGTCCCGTCGGGGGAGCCGACATGGGCATTGCCAGGGCCCTGTATGGGCTGGGGGGGACCAGAGGTGCCGTGGATGGCGGGAAAGCCTTCTCCTCGCTCTCACTGGGCGTCGAGGTAGGCGACGACTCCTCGACCTTGCAGGAGCAGTCCGACTGGTCGCTGTTGCAGGTCTCCGGTCCCGAGACGGATTCGGGAGTCGTCTCACCCGGGAGAGGGAGGGGAGAGGTGAGAGACATGGCCTTCGAGAGGAAGTCTGTGTAGGCCAACGGCGGGCTAATGGGCGTCTTGATGTAGTCGGGGTCGGGCTTGATAGGAAAGGTGATGGCCGACAGAGGCGTGGCCGTGGTGGCAGAGCGAATGTGAGCGGAGGTGACCTCTGACGGAAAGGTGGCCGACACGGGCGTGGAAAGCTTGCCCAGCTTCGGCTTGTTGGTAGGCGCCATCGTGAGGTAAAGCCTTGTCCCTGCTCGTCGTTGAGAGGACCGAAAGAGCCAACAGAGGTCCCAGAGGTGGTGCCTTATACCAGCGCAGGGTGGTGGGCCGAGGAGTGGGACGGGAGATGACAAGCCCAAGCCGTACTCGAGGACGGAGGTTGAAAAAGCTGGGCAAGGTGGAGGGGAGAGGGAGAGGGAGAGGGAGAGAAAGGCAGCAGGATGAGAGCTTGTTATATCGTAGCGAGGTGGTGCAGCAACAGTGGGATGCCGAGTGAGCGCGCCTGTGTTTGGCGCCGTGGTTCTGTTTGTGAAGGGTGGGGGGGTGTGCGAGAGTGTGGTGTGGCGTGTGCTGGGGGGAGGGGTGTGATAGGTGGTAAGCGGATTCTGCTGGCTGTGCGAGACGCTGAGGGCGCATATGCTTTTCGGTGGATGCTGTGTCTGTACTCGCCGTACCAGGACCGGGACCAGGACCAGGGTCAGTTCCAATGAGTCCAATGACGGTCTCTAGAGACCTGCTGGCGGCAAAAGATGGGCTTGGCTGGGGGGAGGTGTGGCCGATGCGATGTCTTCAGTCTCGTCGCTTGTCACCACACGCCCACGCAAGACCTGTCTGACTGGGGAGCCTTCCCGGCGGGTGATGTTCGTAAACAATGGTTCATTGACTAGGGCTGATTGCCGGTGGTTGTGCAGCCTGACTGAGCCACCGGATGACTCTACAGAGCTCGGAGAGAGCAAAAGATTAGCCGTGGGATTGATCATGAGAATATAAATAAATAAATAATAATAATAAAAACTGCTGGCCATAACAGGGAGTGTACGTGGGACGACGTAAAGAAGGAAGACAAGAAAAAAAAAAAAGGGGGGGGGGGGGGGGGGGGGACACTCACTCGCAGTTGCAGTATGTGAATGCTATCAGGTGGGTCCGTCTGGAGTAGTAAAGGATAAAAGCGGCGGCGGTTTGTCTTGTACGTCGCGCTTGTACTTTTGGACACAGCGAGGCCCGAATAGTCGACAGAAAGAGAGGGGGAATGAAGAGAGGTTCGTGAGGTGGATGAGAGAAAAGAGAGAGAGAGGGAGAAGGAAGGAAAAGAGAGGAGAGGAGAGAAGAAGATATCTCTTTTCCTGGATTGCTCTTTCCTTTCAGTTGACGACGACGACGAGTGGTGACGTGGAAGGTGTTGTTCGAGGTGACAGAGGGTCCAGGGAAGGAGCTATCCGACTGGCAGTTGCCGGCGGGAAAGACAAGGGAAAGAGGTGTGTGCTTCTCGTACTATTACGTCGTATCGTAATAATAGAAGACTGCTGTACGATACTGGTAAAACAGATGAATCAGTATTGGTGCCCGGTATCGTATTCGGTATCCCTACTCTCCCATATTGACACTCGCACTCCCTCGTAATGACTCGTATAGAGAGAGAGAGAGAGAGAGAGAGAGAGCGCCGGTCTGGTATGGGGTACGGAGCACTAGTAGTATTGTTCAACTGGCAATAGTGTGATGGGGGATGGTGGCGCCTAGCCAACCCGGTTCGTCATGTACGATTCCGATCTCAAGTACCGTGCAAAAAAAAAAAAAGAGAGGAAAAAAAAACATGATTGGCAGTTGTGCTAGTTTTACCCGGAAAAGAAATAGGAGTGGTGGCTTTTGGAACTTACGTCGTAACGCTCACACCAACTAGCACCAACCAGCAAAGGCCCGGCTGGGTGGATGGATGTGCTCGTATGGGTGTCAATGTTCCGAGATGTGCGCAGTCGCGTGGCCGCAATGACACACAATATGACGTGTATGAACCCAAAAGAACGATGATGATCCTCCCGAAAGATGTGTGTGCGTGCGTGCGTGCGTGCGTGTGCGTACGTGTGTGTGCGTGTGTGTGTGCGTGTGTGTGTGTATGCGTGTAATGTTAAGAAGAGAAGAGGAGGAGCGGCTGCGATATCGATTCTCATAACCAGCAGCAGCAGCAGCAGCAGCAGCAGCAGCAGCATCACAACTTATATAGCACCGTTCCTCAAGACCCAGTCCCAGTCTCCATCCCCACCATCATCTCAATAACCTTCGGAAATAATACGTACGAGAAACGAACAATACCCGGACGGCGCTTGCTGCTTCCGTTTCGCCAGCCACCAGAAATTGACAGCACAGACAAACAAACAGATGATAACAGATTCTCGGATTGCTCTCCCCCAATCCCGTGCAACCCCTTACCCCCGACCTGCTACTCGCTGCTGCCTCACTCCGCGCGCGGCTCCCGAACCCGCGGGGGGAGGGGGGGGGGGGGGGGGAGGGCTACGGACCCTCAACTGGCCATGTCGTGGCACCCAACCTCTACTCGCACATCTATGTGGCTACTATTTGACCAGCTGTCAAATCAAGTGGGTTGATCAAACCAACTTGACCACAACCGCGCGCCACGTGAAGTATCAAGGTAAAAAGCTGCTCGTATCAACAACAACAACAACAACAACAACAACAACAACAACAACAACGACGACGACGACGACAACCCCTCCCCCCTCCCCCACCTCCTTCTCGTCTCCATCTCCTCCAACCTCCCGCAGCCACCCGTCGTTCCAACCAGCCAGCTAGTTCCCATTAGAAGTAGAGAGATCCGTTACGGTAAGGTGCATTCGCGCCGGCCTGTCGGACCTCCTCCTCCTCCTCCTGCAGTAAAAGCACCGCGTAGCCTGGGCGCATCTGCATGCTTGGTATGCTTGCCAGTCATCACCGCCCATGCTTGATGTGTAAGCGCCGAGAACACTTGCAATACTCGACGGGAAATATGCAGCTCCCCGTCCATTGGATTGAAAGATTCACTTCGTTCAGTTTGGGAAGAAAGAAGAAGAGAGATGGGATATTCCCCAAGCGGCCAGGCTTCTCCTCAGCGCTTCCTGCTCCTTCCTCTGGTTCAGACAAGACACTCGTCTCCTCTCTCCAGCCGCCCTCGATGACTATGCATCATCATGGGTAGTGTAGGATATGGGATCCAATGAGAAAGAGCACGCTTTCTCGAGGCCGACTCCTGGCGCTTCCAGTCCCGCAGGTTCGAGTCGGGGCTCTGCTTCGAGTAGAGATCGTGAACTCGCGTCCGGGGCTGTTCATCGTAGACTCTGGCCACTGGAACCTGTCTGACCTTTTACATAGACGACCCAGCACCTCGCCGTATCTTATTCCCTCTCCCCCCTGGCAAAGCGACCAAGCATATTTTCCAACCCTTTCCAGGTTCTCTCCGAGTGGCGTTGCGGACCAACACATGTCTGTCGGCTTTTGCCGCCACTCCTTGACCTCGTCCACAGAATGCGCCTGGGTAAGCGACCGGCCATGTATGTCAGCCCCGGCGCTGTGATTCCATGGCGTCCTTTTGTCATTTCGACAGAGCAAAATGCGACGAATCACGGCCAGTGCTAGTCTGACCACCACGAAATCCCTTGGGAGAAGCCCCCCCCCCCCCCCCCCCCCAGTGGGTTCGCCCATCATGCAAGAGCATGCTTTAGTCTTTAGCTGGGGCATCGGCGCTCCTCCTCTGCTTGGACAGGGAAGTTAGATGCTGACCATGTCTTGCATGGGGCCAGTCATGTTCTTTCAGCAGTGAAAACTCCCCCATAGCCACATACGAGTAGTGACATCGCGCCTGTTTTCGTCTGCAGCCTGCTTCCGTCGCTTATCACCTGCAGCGCGGCTATCTGGCCAACGTCGGCTTCTTCCAGGCCAGACGTATCCGTTGTCTCCTTCAGGTTAGTCCGGCAGAGGTATCCCCTCAATGTTACTAGTCTTTTTTTTCTTTCTATTGACAGGCTCTCAAGCGTGACATTCATTGTCTGGATCAAGCAGGAATTCTGGCGGACCATCAACCACACGCAGCCATTCCACCGCTGCCACTGTCGGCAGACCATTGGTCCTCTTTCATGTACGCGAACAAACCCTCTCCCATTGCGCATGCTGCCCCTTAAAAGCCTCATAGATTCGTTTCGAATCAGAGAAAAAAAAGCAATGAGGTATGCCCGACGTCGTACATGACCCACGGCCAACCCGCCCCTCCAACAAGGCACACACGCCCCCTCCCTCGCGGCGTACCACAGGCAGCGCACAAGATGGAAAAGCCCTACCTATTCGTGCCAGCATAGCAGAAGAAACCGATGACGGGGAATCCCCCGACCTCCTTTCTTCCTGTCCCTCCCAACACCGAGGTCGCGAATGGGACAGCAGTGGTCCCCGGTTGGCTCGGGTGCTGCCTTGTAACGGGTTGAGGTGCGAAAGCTGTCTGCGCATGCAAGACGGGCACTTACACGCAACATGTCAACTTCCCTGAATGATATTGTCTGTGTGTGTGCGTGTGCGTGTCGCCGTCGTCTGCAGACGCCCACATCTTGTTGGGAACGGCTCTGGTTGCCCGTCGCAGAACCATGGTCTCGTTGCCCCCTCAAGCAGGATTCTGGTGGACGGGTAGCGGTCTGGCGTGTCTCCTCGGCGCCTTCTCATCTCGCCGTTTTCTCTTTGCCATCATGCCCCTCTGTTCCGTCGTCGAGGATGCAGATCCGGCTGAGAGATGGGGTGGCGAGAGCGGCCTTGTGTGTGGTGGTCTGCTTACACGTCAATACTTTCTAGGACGGCCTACCACCGCAGCCAATGTTGGACCACCACCGCAGCCCATGATTAGGCACCTATGCGGGATGGAACATGTCGAGGTCAGTAGTCCATCTGCGACTCTCCCTCTCCTGCGGTCACCCAAGCGGGGAAACTGTGCTTCTTGGAGAGACATGTGCGTGCATGTGATGGGAGGGAGCTGGCAGCTTACGATGATGGATGAATAAGAGGATGCGGCGGAGAGGAAAAGGACCACACAGATATGCAGAGCAGATGTGATCCAAATTATGGAGTATGGTGATGGTGATCATAGATATCGAAGCCAGATGGTCAGGAGGAGCGATACTCCTCCTGGTGTGGTAGCGCCACCTCTAGTCGCAGCATGCTGCCTGCAGCAGCAATGGGGCCGGAGGTGCTGCGCTGCTCCTGCTTGTCTATGTGCGTAGCGAAACCGATGACGGACAAATTGTGTAAAACGCCAAGTCCGGCTATACATGTTCTAGGCCATATTGCTAGAAGCATGCTGTGAGGCTTTTGCCTTCTTGTGGAATTTGTGAGCGGGTGTTTTTTGAGACCGGACGTGGTATGTGATGTATAACAGTTCTGGTGTCTTGGTGGTGCAAATAGTCATGTATGGATCGACGTTGCTTAAAGGTGTGTAAATGGGTCACATACATGCAACCTCAATATGCGCAAAGGACATATTCCGCGAGAGAGAGGGAGAGAGAGAGAGACGGGAGAAGCACCCACCATTATCAGCAGTAATAATGATAGGAGATTTCGAGACGTAACATTGGCAGGCCTGTGATGATCGATTTTGCGTGAGAAGTACAGGGTATTTGTGATGGAGCAGAAGGTCGCGCGGCTTGGTGGGGATGGAATCCGGCGAAATGAAGAGATAGATGCTCTTTACACGTAACATCATACCGTCACAGAGTTGAAGAGATGGCTCAAACCGCCGCGCAATGAATGCCGTTGCTCTCGCCTCCCCCGTCGGCCATAAGCCGCTCGGGGAGACGCTAGAGGGACAGAGACAAGAAGTGCGACATGCCGAGAGAGAGAGAGAGAGAGAGAGAGAGGAACAAGAGGACCAGCACCTCTCTCACTTCTAAAGTCCAACGGCATACATGTATACCAGGACTCTCTCTGTGGGTCAGATTCTACACAAAGGGCAAAGGCCGGAAAACAAAAAGCCGAAAGAAAAAGACACAGAGACGGAGCAGTCGGAAAAGAAAGGCGAAGCATACGAATGCGATTCCGCCTAGCCGCAGTCCGTGCCGCAGATATGCAAACGAGGCATGGGTTCATTAGTTCAGAGTACACCGACTTTTGCGATGATAGTGTCCCTTGAAAGAAGAAGAGGAAGGAGAAGAAGGAGAAGAAGAAGGAGGCGACAGAATATGGCGAGCTAGACAGTGGGAGAATGATTGAAAAGAAAACAATCGTCTTTTCAACTGGATCCCACTTGGCGAGCCGTGTTGGACAATCGTGAATGAGGAAGGAGGGGGAAGGGGGAGGGGGGGGGGGGAAGAGACAAAGACTGGAGTCAGATGTGGACTGTCGGAAGGAACGTTGTCTCGGTCAGAGAAGAGTCAGGGACTCGAGATCAGCACAGAGGCTATAGCATATTTTGTAGAATGATTCCTCATAGAAGGACTAGACATATCAAGGCCGCAAATAACGCTTTCCACTAGAGCACTCTTCCTCTCTCTTGACCTCGAATAATTAATTGATTACTCGGATTCGATATCGGATAATCTCACCCAACTCTCAGACGCACGCTTAACCGAGGTTATAGCATAACCTGGACAAGTCCGACAGTGAGATGAATCACGTGTGCGGGCGTTCGGTATCGACAAAGAGGAGCCACGAAGAGGAGAAAGGCATAAACGATGCGAGGCGGAATATACTGGCTGGCCTCTCCATCTCCTCTCGAGACTTTGGCGCGCATGACCTTCTTATTGGTCTCCTCCTTCTCTGCTCTACGGATGCAGTCACTGTACAGATTACCGTCGGAGAATAGTAGGGGTCCGTTCGGAGCATGTATCATGATGTAAGATGGCTACTTAGTGATGAGTGATAATACTGCAGGTTATTACTGGGTGCTACCCGCCCATCTGCACATGTAGCAGTGAATAATAACACTACTCGTATGAGAGCCAGCACATGTATGCGTACATATAGCAGCCATCACATCCTGGATCTGGAGACGTATATGGCGCAGTGATAGCAGATCAGGTAGCCACACGGACGGACTCACATCACCGGAGGACTTCCCATGGGATGGACGACCGGAGGGGCAACCATGGAATGAAGGAAGGCAGGGCGCGCCCCGTCCCGCGGTAATAAACGGGGCACACATGCACGATATACATGGTGCACTGCCCAGAAGTTGCCAGCTCATCCATCCCGTGGCGCACACCGGATCATCATCACATTGCAGGGAAGTTGGTGAGGGGTGTTGTCGTCATCATCTGCCCTTGGCAGTCCCTGCCCAGCAGGCACTGATGGACGTCACCAACACTCTTCTTCTCTATTTCTCTCTCTCTCTCTTCTCTCCATCGTTCTCTCCATCGTACAATTTCTTTTCTTTTCTTTTCTTTTTTCCTTTTTTGTCTTGTTTTGCTTTTTCCGTTTTCCGTTTCCCTCTCGTATTCGACTTATTTTCTTCTCATACATTCCAACTCCCCCCTCCCCCCCCCCCCCCAAAAAAAAAAAGAGGCAAAACAGCCGTGATTGCATGGGGGTGAGACTGTACATGTAATATGAGCAGAGGCACGTCGCAGTGNCGCGCGCTAGCTTACATCGCTTCGGCATCCGTCTTGGTATGTTCCTCCACTCTCTGCCGGCTTTTTTTTTCTGCCCCCCCCCCCCCCCCCCCCCCCCCCCCAAAAAAAAAAAGAGGCAAAACAGCCGTGATTGCATGGGGGTGAGACTGTACATGTAATATGAGCAGAGGCACGTCGCAGTGAGGCGTGCGGCACGGAGACCTGGCATGACTCTGGCTGTGTGATGCGATGGTAGCACAACTTTGAACTTTGCCGTGCCACGGTTGAAGATCACTACCCCTGATGCTGATACTCGTACTATCATCATTGCAGTAACATCACTGCGACGGCCTTCGAGTGGTGACCCTCCAGCATTGCTCAGCACTTCCACTTCTGCAGGCTTGCCGCTATTGTTGGAAATAGAAAAAAAGAAAGGAAAATCTCCATTTTTCCTGTATTCTTACCCGAGAGACATGTCCGGATTTTAGTCATGTGAGAGGCCAACGAATCAGGGCGCGCGGCTGGGTCAAGTCACATACGACGTACGGAGTACAGATTACATGCGAGTACATCAAGCAACACGAGCTTACTCATAGTTGCGACGAGCAGTGAGAGTATGAGCAGTGCTTGTATACGGGTGCTCGTACATGACACTATCTCTATCCGATGCGGACCGTATCATATATGCTTAGCGGCAGTAGCTGTAGATACAATAAAAACAGCAATGGTACATATGATCATACGTGCTTGTTGGCTCTGCCGTCATTACGACCTTACTTCGATACAGTGTATGGCACCGTTGTAGATATATGTATAGCCTACATATACTCGTAAAGAGAGGGAAAAAAAGAGACGTGGGCGGGGCAAGTATCGCCCCACTGTCGAAGGCTGATTCAGCCAGTCACAAGTATGAAAAGACTCTGGTTCCGCCCCTCAAGAGTCAAATCATTTTATCGCATCTCGTCCTCCTTCTCTTCTCCTACGGCCAATCAACCCACATTCTCTGCTCCTCCACTTGACACTGCGAAAAGGCAACCAGATTCGTCCGCCTGCGAC